ACCCGGGTTGGAAGGGACCTCAAGGATCATGTAGTTCCAACCCCCCTGCCTAGCAGGGCCACCAAACACACACATTCAGATCAGGTTGCCCAGGACCCTGTCCAACCTGGCCTTAAACACATCCAAGGACGGGGCATCCACAACCTCCCTGGGCAGCCCGTTCCAGGGCCTAACCACTCTCCTTGTATAGAACTTCCCCCTAACATCCAACCTAAATCTTCCCTCCTTCAACTTCGATCCATTTCCCCTAGTCCTGCTGTTGTCAGCCCTTTTGAAGAGTTTACTCCCCTCGTGGGTGTAGGTTCCCTTCAGGTATTGATAGGCTGCAATGAGGTCACCCCGCAGCCTTCTCTTCTCCAGGCTGAACAAGCCCAACTCCCTCAGCCTGTCCTCATAGGGGAGGTGCTCCAGCCCCCTGATCATCTTAGTCGCCCTCCTCTGGACCCTTTCCAAAATCTCAATGTCTCTCAATGCTCAGACTCATTTCAGAGCTTTTTGTTTGGATTCTCATATTCTCTCTCATCTCATCTTCAGGCCAAATCGTTTGCTGATCCTCCATGGTTTTTTGGATGAAAATGTGCACTTTTTTCACACAAACTTCCTGGTATCACAGTTAATCCGGGCTGGAAAACCGTACCAGCTTCAGGTAGGGGGAACAAGAGTGAAGTGGGAAGGTTAGTTAAATCTAGCAAGATAGTTTTATGCTTCTTGCCTCGAGTGCGGGAGAAGGTAGATGCGGATGCTTCCACGTGTTGCTCTTGTTGCAACACAGCTGATAGTAAATGCCTTGTTTGACTTCAACGGGTGACCGGGAGGTGGCACTGTGACTGTTTCATTGCTAGCTGATGTGGCCTCTGTCTAAAAGCATTTGCAAATAGGGCTCCTGCCCTCAAGTCTGGAACTTTCCTTCTCCCCTGGAACTGTGGCTTCTCACATAGCTGTGGGCAGCAGAAGTGGCTGTTTTGCTGAGCAGAGTGGCAGTGCACATCACTGCAGTGAAGTGAGAGGCAAGGCTGGGTGCTCTACACATCTCCTGGCACTCCTTTGTCCTGATAGAGACTGGGCACAAAGTGAGGGAGGCTTGTCCATGCTGAATGAGCAACTCCTGATTAATTGTCTCATCTCTGCTTCTGCACAGATCTATCCCAATGAAAGACACAGTATTCGGTGCCCTGAGTCAGGAGAGCACTATGAAATCACGCTGCTGCACTTTCTACAAGAATACCTCTGAGAACACATGCCTCTGCAAACTGGATGCTGACAGCTCACTTCACCCCTTCTGTGCCCAGCCACTACCACCTCCCTTGACAGCCATCTAACCCAGAGCACAAATGGCTGCGTGCCCATGTCGGGGTGTCTTGCCCTGAATAATAAGGGAGGAGGATGGAAGGTACTTTCCCTTTGGACAGTGCCACCTTCTTTCACTTTCCAAGCTGGAGGTCTGCCTCTGCTCAGCTGCTCATCCTATTTCTCTCTTCCAGCCTGGCTGTTAATGTGTTGGGTTGTTTTTTTTTTGGGGGGGGTTTTTTTTTTTGGGTTTTTTTTTTTTTTCCTTCTACTCCCACTATCCTGGGGATTGATGGACAGTGGTCTGTCTCCTAAGACTGAGGTTTGCATCCATCTCTCTCTGTCCCCCATCCTTTTCCCTTCCACTGCACATCTGCAGTTCATGTACTCTTACCTGCAAGAACTCGGTGCCTGTGTTGGAAATAGAAGAGCTGAATAAGCAAGCTGCCTTAAGCCAGGAATGGGAGGGAAGAGAGAAGAACGTATTGTTAAAGCCCCAGGGCAGCTGATTGCTGGTGCTGTGTCCTTGCCCTGCTGCAGCAGTGTGGAGCCCTGGGATGTGAAGAGCTCTACAGAAGCATGCAACACTAGTCATTTCTATTTCTCAGTTTTATTTTGCAGAGCAGATGGAGGAAGTGGCTGGGGTTGATAACGATGCCCTCTCATGCCTTTCTCTAATGGCCGCTCACAACCAGAGTTGTGCCAAAAGGTAGCACAGCAGCTGAAGCAGCTGGCTACAACCAGAGATCATCTCTCTGGAGATAAGTTTTTTGTTGTTGTTGTTTTTTTGTTTTTTTGTTTTTTTTTTTTTGCAACACAAGATGGATAATATTTATGCAAGTCCTTCCTCCCTCCATTCTTTATGCTGCCTCCCGATCCTACCTTCTCCTTCCCTGAAACCTTGAGCTTTCAGATGTGCACTGAAATTGGCTGTGCTTCAGTTCTCTGCAGGTCAGTGACTGTTCCCCTTACCCATCTACTCAGCATATGCTTTCTTTTGGTTTTTATTTTCCTGGTCTACAGGAACTGTAATTCTGGGGAGGGGGGATTGAGTAATTGCACCTCAGGGGAGCGCGTACCCCCCCACCCCTCAAGCCAAGGGTTCTGCCAGGGATGAAAAGAGAAGAAAAAAGCAACACCCAAATGAACCACATTGACTTGCCCTGGAGTATTTTAAGTGCGTATTATGAAAAGAAAATATTTTTATGGATTCTTATTCTTTTATAATTATGAGTGTAAGATGTAGCAACTCATTAAAATATTGGAAAGAGATGCACTGGTTGGCATTTGTATATTTTTTGGAGTGTGGGAGAGGGCTTGGGAGGAAGCACCATCTGGCTTACAACGGGTAAAGCTGCTTTTATGGTAAAAGCAAAGTGCTTTGTTTGGTTTCTGTGTCAGACAGCGGACAGAATGTTAAAGCCTTGATGTTCCTCAAAGGAAGCACGATCCAGCAATTGAAGATGCTGTAGGGTGGAGAGCTGGGAATCCTGGACTGTTCTTGGCTCTGCCATTCAGGCAATCCTGGACTGTTCTTGGCTCTGCCATTCAGGCACTGCATGACCTGGAGGGAGGCTTCCCGTGCTTGCAAGTAGCCTCAGCCGTGGAGATAGGAACCTCACCCAGCATCCCAGCTCCCTCTGACTTCTTGGGGTTGCAGCTGCTCTGTGGCACAGGTAACAGCCTGGCGGCTCATCTTCAAGCACTGGCAGCTCCGATCCCACGCTGGGAGGACATGCGTGGGTGCTGGGCATAGAGCTGCTTTTTGCAAGTATCTGAATACTCGCCCATGCTTGCTTTCTGTGGCACTTAAGGCCTACAAAACCTGGCTTTGCTGCTTTTCTTTCTGTATTAGAGTTGAGCATTAATTAAATTGCTATTAAATGCCCTGAGGATGAAAGCTAGAGACTTTCATTTTAAATGCAAAGCATCTCACAGCTGGAGGATTTTGTTTTCTCAATATGGCTGTGAGCATATTTCTTGCCCAGGAATTCACCTGGCTCTCTTGGTCATGCTTTAGCTTCGATCATGCACCCTGCTTAGTACCTTCTGGTGTTTCTTTGAGGTCTGAGGAGCAGCGGAAGGGGAGGTAATGGAGGAAGTTGCACATCTCTGAAGCTTCCTTAAGAGAAGGGTATGCTTTTCCTCACAGAGAGAAGAGTCACTCCCTTCACAGCTGGGTGGGTGCCGGTACGTGGTAAGAAGCTTTATTTTGCGGGGTTTGCTTATTTTAAGTCTTAATCTCAAGTGTTTTCTTCCTGTGCCAAAAGAACAAGTATTCTTAAAATGTCTGCAATGCACTCTTAAACTTTTATAGATGAACAGTTTATCTGCCAGCTGCTTTGATCCTCCAAGCTTGCTTCTGAAGCTGCAGGATTATTTGGTGCCATAAAAAAATAAAGTTTTCTTCTGTTGGGTATTGAGATCCTGAGAGGCATTAACTTGGAAAATCACTACAAACCCAAGTTTTTCTATATGTAACAAGATTGAAATACAAATGGCGTAGGAGGCTTCCACCTAGCTGTCCTGAGAGACAGGGAATTGGAGTATGAAGCAGCAAAGTAGCTCTTTTGGATAGAGGATTTGCAGCTGCAATAGAACAGAGTTAACTTCCTGTGAGGGCAAGTGGTAACGGCTGCAGGAAGTGGAGGGCATTGTGATGGATGCTGGAGAGGCCGGATAGAAGGCGCTCTTCCTCAGTACTAAGCCTGAGTTTGTTGGGAGGCACTTCTCCCATGAAACTCCAATGTGTGGAGTTTTATTTTTAGGTGTAGGATGTGGAGAACAGATGTTTGGTTTCAAAAATAAGTCATTTTGAACTGCTTCTTGAGCTACAGAATTAGCTCAGCTAGATGCTGTTACTCTGAAAGATGGTCGAGTGGAAAGCTTCTTAGCATCTCCGTTCCTAAAGTGTTGGGGAATAAAGGTGTGGTGATGGCTCTTTCTCTTAAAGCTGCAGTAGTGCAAGCTCAGGGCACAGTCCTGGGTGCTGTTCTCTCACTGTTGCTGCTCTGCAGAGCAGTGCCTGTGGGATGGCTGAGTTTGCTGCAAAATACGTTTCATCAGATTCCATCAAAGGAGGCGTGGGCTGTGCAGCAGCAGTGTGAGGAAGACAAATGGCTGCAGTGGTGGGGGACTGGGGGAGTCAGACTGCAAAATGCAAAGTGTAAACTGATCATGGCGTGTCCTCACTGAGGACTTTTGGAGAAGCATGCACACATCTGCTTCCAGCACATTGCCTCTTAGCTGGGGCAGATGCAGTGCTTTGCTCCAAAGCCCATGGAATCCTCACTGCAGTGCTGCCCTCCTCCTTGTGTAGAAACAAACTTATTTTCTCTGGTTTTAGCTCAAGCTCCTTGCTCAGAGGCTGTTGCAGCTTCCCCTTGGCTTTCAAGTGAGAACAGCATTGTCCCAGCCCAGCAGCTGTGGCTCTTGCTGTGTTGGGCTCTGTGTTTTGCCTCGAGTCCCAAAGCTGCTCTGAACTGGGATGCAGAGGCTGAGCCATAGGCATTCCCCCTGGCCCCCAGCCTCATTCATGCCAGTCCTTTTTCTTCCCTTCTGACCTTCCCTCATGCATCTGTGCTTCAGCCAGGGTTGTGCAGAGCCAACAAAAGGCACAACCTGGGGAAAGGTCTGTGCATTTTTCCCCCTTTCTTTTTTTTTTTTTTTTTTTTTTTTTTTTTTTTCCAGAAAGCATTGCAGATATCTTTATCCCTGTTCCTGGTGCTGCTCTCAGGGCTGGCTGCAGCTCTCAGGCCGCTAGGCAAACGTTGCTCTGGAGATGCCAACATGCAGTCTCAGTGTTAGTGGTGCAGTCAACAGGAAGGAATGCATGAGGTGGCTGCTGCTGTAGGAAGGGGGTGGGGAGCATGAGGCACTGTGACAGCAGAGAAATGCAGCAGCCCTGAGTAAGGGATTTTGAAAATAAAAATTGTGGAAAGACTGTAGGGAGCATAGAAAGGCAGGAAGGGTGGACAAACTAGGGTGTTCCAGAGCCACCCAAGCTGACAGATAAGAGTGGGGATGGTGTGTCTGCAGCCAGCGGCTTCCACTATCTGCAGCCTGCAAGTCCCTCCATGGTGGGGGACATGGTGCTTGAGCTGCTACCAGGCACAACTGGGGACAAACACTATAATGTGGTCAGGGGACAGGTTTGCAGGTGGGTAAAGGGGCTTTTGCTGCATGGTGGCAGATGGAACGTGTCCAGTGTGGCCCTGGAGCAGCACTGGGTGCGGCTGTACCTGCTTTTCTCACTGCCCTTTTGTCTGCATTTGCTTTGTTCTGCCACTCAGGGAACAGGATGGAGCTCCAGTTTCTTGTGAAGCCATTCATTCCTCTCCTAAAAAGGACAGTTAAATACCACGAAAAGGACAGACAGCTAAGACCCTCTAAAGCTCCTGTCAAAACAGCTGCATGTCCATACAAAAGTTGATCCAGCTGAAGGAACAAATGTATATCTTGCCTTTCTCTGCTTTCCCCTCATCTTTAATCCAGACTTGGAAGGATTTATCTTGCCCAATCCAGGGGCTGTAGAGTAACCATGGGGCTCTACCCAGGCCTACCTCATCCCTCCTTTTGCTTTTCCCTTCAGTTCAGAGCCATGACTGTGCCCTTGGGGCTGCTGCTGGCCCTGTTGGGCTACATCACGGCACTGGACCCTGCACTGGAGGAGGCCTGGGAAGGGTGGAAGAGCCTATATGCCAAGGAGTACCCTGGGGTACGTCTGCACCAGCTGCGGAAGGACCTGGCCATGCTCAGCTCCCCTTGGGCCTGACAGCCTGGGGTCAGCTTCAGAAGGGTCCATACCTGGGAAGGCCCCTCTGATGCTCCTGGGGGCTGTTCCTGACCCCAGGCTGCTCTGCCCCTTGACAGGAGGCTGAGGTCATCCGCAGGGAGGTCTGGGAGAAGAACCTACGGCGCATAGAGCAGCACAACTGGGAAGAGTCACAGGGGCAGCATACGTTCCGCCTGGGCATGAACCATTACGGGGACCTGGTACTTGCACCTCCTCCAAGGACTTGATCTGAGGGCTAGGTGCCCCCGGCCTACTCTGCTTGGAGTGATGGTGCTCCCTGGGGTGCAACCTGCCCATGGGGAGCAGCAGTGCAGGTGGCCCTGCACACAAACATATGCACCTACAGATGGACGAGGAGTTCAACCAACTCCTGAATGGCTTCACCCCAGTGCAGCATGAGGAGCCAGCACTGACCTTCCAGGCATCGGCAGCTCAGAAGACCCCAGCAGAAGTGGACTGGAGGGTGAGAGGCTACGTGACACCCGTAAAGAACCAGGTAGGCACGTGGGGGGCTCTGTCCAGGGCCACAGGATGGGTGCCAGCAGCAGAAGCTAGAGACTGCATCCTCCAAAGGGCTGGAATTCTGTGAAACCCAGCAGTCCTATAGTTTTGGCTGTTGCAGTTTCTTGTAGTTTTGCAGATGAGGAGCTGGAAAGCAACACTATGGGGTCACCCTCCATCACGTTTTGGAGTGATGTTGTGATCCCCCCCATCACTTCCCTCTCACCTAGGGGCACTGTGGATCATGCTGGGCATTCAGTGCCACAGGGGCCCTGGAGGGACTTGTCTTTAATTGGACGGGGAAGCTGGCAGTGCTGAGTGAGCAGAACCTCATCGACTGCTCCTGGAAGCTGGGCAACAACGGTTGCCAAGGTGGCTACATGACCCGTGCCTTCCAGTATGTGCATGACAATGGTGGCATGAACTCCGAGCACGTCTACCCCTACGAGGCCACAGTAAGGGGCAGCAGGAAGGGGGCAAGCAGGGATAGAGCTGTGCTTGTGGGTCCCAGCCCTGGCACTGCTTTCTCCCTGCTCTCAGGACACCTCTAGCTGCCGATACAACCCTGGGGACAGAGCAGCCAACTGCTCCACAGTCTGGCTGGTGGCGCAGGGCAGTGAGACAGCGCTGGAGCAGGCAGTGGCAACTGTGGGCCCTGTGTCTGTGGCAGTGGATGCCAGCAGCTTCTTCTTTCACTTCTACAAATCAGGTATCAATTCCTGCACCTGGAGAGGTGCGGTTAGGTAGACTAAGGCAGGTGTGCCTTGCTATGGGGCTGGGCAGCCAAGCCCTAGCAGAGCCCACAGGGCACCCAGCCCAGGAGAATGAGATCAGCCACCTTCCTTTTTCCAGGAGATGAATTGACCGGGGTCAGAGCCTGGACAACTCAGTTCTGTTCTTTCCAGGCATCTTCAGCAGTATGTTTTGCAGCCAGAAGGTGAACCATGGGATGTTGGCTGTGGGCTATGGTACCAGCCAGGAGGGCAAGAAGAATGTGAGCTACTGGATCTTAAAGAATAGGTAGAGGTGGCTTAGATCTGCCATCACTTTCAGCCTGTCCACTGCTCCTCTACGAGGTCAAAGATGCAGCAGGAGTATCCCCATCCCACGACATGTGACACGTCTCCCTGTGCCATGGGAGTGCAGATGCGCTCATTCTCCATCTCCTCCTGCAGCTGGTCAGAGGTGTGGGGTGAGCAGGGCTACATCCGCCTGCTGAAGGGAGCCAACAACCACTGTGGGGTGGCCAACCAAGCCAGCTTTCCTCTGCCGTGAGATCCTGGACTGGAAGGAAGATGGCACTCACTGGGATTGCTCCCCTGCCTTGCTGTGAGGATAGGGATGCTTCCTTCAGGAAGGGGCTTTTGTCTGTGTGAAAAACAATTAAAAATGGCATAGCTAATCACTCTGTGCCTGCAAAGGGGGGCTAAGGCATGGCTAATGTAGCAGGTTCTTTTTTTTTTCTTTTCTTGGTTGGTGAAAGGAGCTTTCTCTGCCCCTTTCATAGAACCACAGAATGTTTTGTGTTGAAAGGGACCTCTAAAGACCATCTTGTCCCGCTCTGCAAAGAACAGGGATGCCTACAGCCCATTCAGGTGCTTTTCCTTCCATCTGAATCTCAAATGCCAGAGCTCTGAGATTTTTGGCCACAACTGCAGCTCTCTAACTCAAACATTATCCCTCCTAGCCCAGCTCTTTATAAAGTAACTCCTTATCAAAGCAAGCCTGCAGCACACATGAAAAAAAAACCCTTAACTTCCTTCACCTTCTGCTGCTTATTTCTGTGTCTATCAAATACTGTGGGGATTCGCTCTCTCTGAGAGCAAACACAAGGCCATAAAAAGGGGAACACGCAGCTCTGAAATGGCCAGCCCGCGGGATGGCTCCAGGGGCGCTGTCCACGTAGACGCCGTCACTTTGTCCCATATCCTAATGGCTCTTTGTCCCAGTCGTGAAGAGCCCCTGCCCTCACTCCGCTACGTCCCGGCCCAGGCTCCCTGCCCACACACAAGATGGCCGCCACGGCGCCCCCTAACCGCTCGCCGCCCGCACTGACCCCTTCCGCCCGCCGTAGCGCGGGCTTCCTTTTCAAGATGGCGGCGCCCTGCGGTCTGAGCAATCGGTGGCTGTGGGCCACGGTGGTGCCGGCCGCAGTGCTATGCTTAGCGGTCCGGGCCGCGGAGGAGGCAAGCACAGCTGATTTCGACGTGAGGCCCGGCGGAGAGGCTCACTCCTTCTCCCGGAGCCTGGTAAGGGGAGAGGAGGGACGGGGAGAGGAGAGTGTACGCGTCTCTCGCTGATTGGTGGGAACGCATGTCATTCCTTGCTGCTGGCATGGGGATTGGCTGACAGCAGGGAAGGCGGGACGAGTGGTAGATGACAGGGGTAGGAGGTGGGGGTTCTGGGCCGGTTGCTGTGGGAGCGATGCCTGGGAAAGGGGCTTTCAGGTGGGGGTGGACTACAAAGGAATGAGATCTCTAGGAAGGAAGGAACTGGGATCGGGTCTCCAAAGAGAAAGGGGTCTGGGGCGCCAAAGAATGGCCACTAGCTGAAGGAAATGTGTCGCCACTAGGGTGGGATGATCCCTGTGACCAAGAACTCCCTAGGCTGGGTCGAGAGGGGGGTTCAGTGGAAGGAGATGCTTCAAGGGAAAGTGAGGGGCTCCAAGGGAAGGAGGAGTCTCTAGGGAAAGGTGTGCTGAGGGGATCTGGTGAGATGGGAACTGCAGGTTACTGCCCACTCCCTAGCCCAGATCCTCAGGGTTCTGTTGAGACCCCCAGAGCACCTCCTAGATGAGGGCCTTGCAGCCCCCACCAATATTGGGGCTCTTCCTAGGGTCAGACCAGTGGGGGATCCTCTGTGCCCACACCCCTTATGGCCTTCTCAGGTGTTCCCATGTCTCATGTTGGTGAAGTACTGATGCTGAACAGGTAGATTCACACAGTTTGTCACTCCATGGCCAGGCTGCTGATCTTCTCTTTCTCCAGGGAGATTACACCTGCACTTTCACGTACTCTGCTCAGGGAGGAACGAATGAGGTGAGTTGGGCAATTTGGATTCTTCCTTTGCGCTCAGTCTGGCTGCGCAGAACAGGATTCTGTTGTTATCAGTGCTGACAGCAGTAGTAACTGAGAAGGACTGATGTGCCTCAGAGATAAAAGGCTGCTGTTCTGCCAGAAGCCTCAGTTGGTCAGTCATCATTTTGTCCCCTAGGTTTAGTTGTGGCCAGGACAAGAAACTTCTTTTTCTACAAGAAGGAAGTGGTTTCCTTTGTGATCAGCTGATTCCAGGGCCCAGGAGCTGAGGGAGGGTGGTGGCACCATTTCCGACACCATGTGTTAGCAAAAATAGCGTTGTTGGGTTTGCTTCTTTAATGGAAGCGTCCTCTGTGTGTTGCAACAATGCTGTGGCACACAAGGCCATGACATTTGTAAGTTTTAATGAATCTTGGGGCCAAATGCTTTCAATGGAGAACAGAATTATCATTTCGTGCCCCTGTAGGTAGGAAGGGCCTTGGAGGAGTAACTCCTTAGTTTTTAGGAAACTGCATAGAACCAGGTCCTTTTATTTTATTGTAAAATGGTATGAGACTTGTACTCTTTTCTATAACTGCACTGATGAAATTGTGGGGAAAAGAGAAAGAGTGACCAGGGCTCCTGCTTTGTGCAAACAAAATAGAAGGGGTCATCAACAGCTGTTCTATAATTATGTTTTGCAATTTCACAGTGGTGCTCCTGCACCTAGGAGGCGGGGATGAATTGGAAAATGGGAGATGTTTTTCAAGATTAACTGTTGGGGCTTTTCCCCTCTGCAGCAATGGCAGATGAACATTGGAGTCAGTGAAGACAACCTGCTCTTCTCCTGCTCTGTCTGGAGGTGTGTGGTTTAACCTGAAAAGCAACAAGCCAGGTGGCGGCTTGGCCAGGGTTCTTCCCTGTGGCAGCAGGGATGGTGCTTCCTGGCTTTCCTCTCCTGGGAGTTGCTGTGACTCTGGGAGGTCTCACAAGCCAGGTGATGTTTCTTCCCCGATTTCTTCACTATACTAGTTGAAGCTGCAAAAGAGCTAGAGATGGCTGTGGAGGGAGGGAGCTATGTATCCTGCCACTCCTCTACACTTCCACCCTCTCTACCAACAGCAGGGATTAGAAGAAGCTGCCTGATTTGCCCCTTCACTGGAAAATCAGAGCAGGATGGTCTCTAATGCTTGTGGCCTAGAGAGAGCCAAGAACCAGAGTGCTACTGTGCCTGACCCTTCCCTATGATCTCACCTCCCATTATAACCTTTCCCTGCTTTAGATGCCAAAGGCTGTGTTCTTATTTTAGGCCCCAAGGGAAGTCTTACCTCTTCTTCACCCAGTTTAAATCAGAAGTGAAAGGAGCCAAGATAGAATACGCCATGGCTTATGTAAGTCCAAGCTGATGACTCGGATATAGGCATGTGGAAAGCTGCTGTAAAACATGGGTTGAACATTGAAAACTTTCATGAGACATCTGTCCAGTAAAATATACTCCAACATGCCCTTAATTAGAGAGTGGTGGCAGTCAGGACCGAGTGTCTGCAGAAAGACCCTCCAGCACTATTTAATTTCTGCTCCTTGTATGCTGTGGGTTATCTGCTGGTTTTGCCAATGTCATTGGCTCCAAAAGACACCATCCTGCCAGGATGCACAGGACAAGGAGCACCTTGATTTGTCTCAACAAATTCATTCTTCCATCTCTTCGACTTTCAGTCATCTGAAGGTTGCTAGTTTGTGGTTTAAAAGGAAATGGAAACCTAGCCAGGAATTTTCCTTCAGATTTCCTTTGCAGATGTAGTTCTTTCACTCCACATTATTAAAAGACAAGTTTGTTCGTTTTCAAAATGTGCTGTTGTTTATTTGCTTTAGATGCACTAGCTTCTTAGATTACCTCAATTGTATAAGCTTTTTTTCCTTCCTGTTTCAGTCTCAAGCTGCAGTGGGTGCACAGAATGACATCCCCTTAAAACAGGAAGAATTCGAAATCACTGAAACGACAGGTCTGTGACTGCGAAAACTACACGAAAAAGGGCCTGGTGTGGGAGACAAGCCTGGTTGTCTACCAGGAGATGAGCAGTTAAGCTTAAAGCCAATAGATGACAGCATGGAGGCAGACACTGCACATTATGGAGTCAGCAGTGTAGTGTTCATGATCCATAGTTGGCAGCAAGATTTTGCAGGTCCCCTTCCTGTTTAAGTGTTAATTGGCATGGGGAAGAATGGGTTTATCACAGTGTGCTTGTACTGTGCATGTAAAGAACGTCAGTGTCCAACTTGCTGGCTTTTTATCATCCTGGAAGGGAACCAGCAGAGCTGTTTTATTTATACCTTACCATTTGTTTATCCTGTACTTGTTTTTTCTCTTTGTAGTGTCTCACAGGGAAGGCAAGTTCCGTTTTGAACTGTCGAAACTCGTGATTGTAGCAAAAACTCCCCATGATGAGCTGTGACTCTGAAGATGCTGTTGGGCGGTGTTTCGGCCAGGAGACCATGGCAGACAATGGAGTTTACTTATTATTGGCAGTTATTTCAGTTGGCCAAACCTTTCATGTTTTCCATATTGAGGTGCGCTAGGGTCCAAGACAAGTGGGGCGTTGAGGTGTTGAGAAAAATGCGTTCTGTCTTGTGTCAGAGTAACAGTGTGCTTTGCAGCTGGAAACATCCTCTGAAAATCCTGATCTAGAGCCAGCCATTCTGCTGCCTGCTTTCTACTTCAGTGATCTGCTGAATATGGTAAAGCAGCCCTCTAAAACAGCACTTTATCTTCCTTGCTAGGAGGAGCAATGCAGCAGCTGGATTTAAGCAAGATCTCCTAAATGAAAGTTGTTAACCCTGGAGTCTCTGGAAGGGGGTAACAGGGTTTCTTTCTCTGGAAGCTTTACAGAAGAAACAAATTAAATTGGGTAGAAGGGGGAAGGAAGGGATAGGGTTGGTCAAAGCCAATTGACTTCTTATGTGCTACTGTGGAAAACCATCACTGGCTTAATTGGAGAGGATGTTCTGTTCCTGTCCTAGTGCAGATTGCAGATTGGGATAACTTGGCATGGGGAAGGCAGTTTCTTATTCTGGCACAACCCAGGAATCAATCCAAGCAACACTTTCATGTCTCAGTAACAGTGCAGGACTATTTTCTATGTACAGAAGCATTTTTTTCTTATCTAAAATATTAACAGCGAGGGAATGTGGAATTCCTATCCTGCGTAAATACACAAATAAAGCATCATCTTCTCACCTGGGTTTGCTTTGGTCTATGATTCCTGTTCTCCAACTGGATGCCTAGCAATCCAGTTCAGCGCTTACTTAGCCAGCAGTTGCTGAGATGTCGTGCAGGAGGTGCCTGCCGGTTTATGGGGGTTCTGCACATCCAAGAGGTATCCCAGCAGCC